CCCTCCTGATTTATGATGAGAGCCAATGTCTCCTTCAACCGAATTTATCGGTTCCAAATTCTCCTCTTCTGTTTCACCCATTGTCAGCATCAAAATCTCGTTTGTCCGCATATGATTCACAAACATATCCCGAGATCTCTTTTCTCTTTTCCCTTTTTCAACACTCTCTATAGCACGTTCTGAGACTGCATTGGGGACCACTGGTGCTGCTAAACCGTTATTCCCTACTTGCATTTTGGAGTGCGCAGCCTTTTTCCTCCTTGCACGTCGTACATTTGTAGTGGTTGCCTTCCCCGTATGGACATTAACAGGATCTGAAGTTGCAGGTATGACATTATCCTCAATCTCTTTAGTTAAATTAAAATTAGAATTATTTTCCACATCAGCCAGAATATCGAATCTCGTCCCAGAGACCGGTTGTCGGAGAAGTTCCCCTGAATTTTCTTTATTCTTCCTTTTCCGGCGAGGTTTTTGCACTACCCTCCATGTTTCCTGTTCAACCCGTCTAGGATTATCATCACCCATGTCTGGTTCTCTCCTCTGCTCTCCCACACAGTTCTTCGCCGTCGTTTCAATAGCAGATTTTTTTCACTAGGCATACTTCATTTCGGTGACCATAAACACCGCAATTCAAGCACAGGGAATGGAGACCTCATATTCCAAATAGTAATCTTCACCATCCAATGAGAATCCTGACATTAATTGCTTGCCTAAATCAATAAGAACACAAATTCTAGCATAGTGTCCTCTGAGTTGGGAAGTAGTATTAACATCAACTTTTAAAGTTTCTCCAATCCTGTTGCCTATGATCGTCAGTGCCTCTTCATCGTAGTATTCTAGGCACACTCTTGGCACACGTACCCAAACAGCTACCTTGTCGATTTTTGCCCTTGCAGGATTAAAACCAGGCTCCCAAGGTCTCACTGTGAGGTAATGGTCATAGATCATCCATGGACCACCAGTTAGCGCATTAAAATAGTCATCCCTGTTTGATAGCTTGACTACAAAATAACCATGTCCAATATTTATCAAACTAATCACCCCTCTTTTTGCCCAGAGTGCTTGTAGCTAAGCTTCCAAAGCCTTGTATCCAATGTTTCTATCCAATAGTTTCACAATTACCGCCTTCTTCCAAGCTCTGTACAACCTTTTCTTCATTCTACCAGAGAAGTGAAACGTAGGAAAATTCCCCTTTGGATCTTCCCTTATCCTAACTAGAGGCTCTTTTTCGTTCAGTTTCTGTATCCAAACGTGATTTTTCAGACATGCTGTCATCAGATAAATCGTCATCTGCTTCAGTTTCCTCGTCTGACTGTTCCTCGTCTCTGTTAGTTCCTTTCAAGGTATCAGCAAAAGATAATCTAGTTTTCTTCTGTGGAGCATTACTAGTACCCAACTTTGGCCATTGGTTCAAATAAGAGCTTTCCCTTTTTCCTGAGACCCCGTTCTTGATCTAAAAAAAAAAACTGTAAAACTATGATCGGCTTTTTGTTGTAACCCGTGAAAACAAGAGAGGCCCATGGACCAACCAGGTAAACCCTCCCGTGGCTTGTATTTCAACGGGCCATAAAAGCAGATTGAGCTCAAACCTGTTAACCTTTTAGTCATCAAAATCAATGTTTTAAAACTCGAACCGGATCGGACGATCAGACATACTAGACTATCAGTGGGAGAACTTATCGGCTCGTTTTTTTCCATTTGAACCGCTTTATGAGTTTGATCGGATTGAGCCGTTTTTAACCGGCAGTCGGAAGCTGTAATTCTACCGCGAACCAGAGCAAATTCTAGAGAATCGGCCGAGTTAGAGTTGGTGAACTAACGATATTGTTGGTTGTTATTTTCTCCGAGAAGATGGAAAAATGAGAAGGGAAGTGAAGATGAAGATGAAGAGGAAGAAGGAAGAAAGCGGAAAACAAAAGAAGCAATGAATAAGAAAGAAAGAAAGGAATGAAAACATTAATAGAGGAGGAAGATACCTAAACACCAAGAAAGGAACGAAAGGACTAGATAAAGCAGTGGTAACCTGATGAATACCAAAAAGAAGATCTAAACCTGAATACTAAAATGAGCAGTTTGACATGGTTGAAGTGAAAAAGAGTTGATGAAGGCAATATATTGTACAACGTTTTATGATTTTATCCGACGGACGAATCAAAAAAGTTGTCTTGAGATGTGGAGAAATTTGTACCTTGTAAGTCAGAAAGGACACCATAAAGCAAGAGCTATGCACATTTTTAATTTCTCAATTGGTTTTTAGGATAGACTATGGTATAGAGTGAAATGTTGAAGGCATTTTTCTATTTATAACTTTTATAATAATTGTTGACAGCTTATTATTTTTCTTCTTTGGATGTTTAAGTTATAAATTAATTCACTAAAAAAATTAAAGTGTTTTAAAAGGAAAAACAGATGTTATCATTATAACAAAATAAAAAAATAAGCTATGAAAATTCACTAAATTTTTATTATTATTCTTCTAACTAGTAATTCATATAGTGGTGTTATTATTTTGTAATTAGACTTGTGTATATATTTGTTATACATTATATATATGTGTATGTGTGTGTATATATTAATTTTTTATTTAATTTTTATCTAATTATTATGTCTCCGGTTGGACTATGACTTCTTCAGTTCAATGTTTGATTCGACTTTTAAAACATTAATTAAAATCTATTATATTATTAAAAAATTGCTACTATAGAACTTAGAAAATAATAAATAATAGTATTGTTTGACTTCTAATTTTGTTGTTTTGAGTTGGTCTAATCATTTGGTTAATCTGGACTATGCTTAAATTTTGCAAATGTGATGGCAGGCCTTTTATTATACTCATTTTAATTTTTGAGTAAATTGACTTTTAATTAAAATAATAACAATTTAATTTTTAATTCAATCTAAATGACTTAAAATCTTAAATTTTTCTCTGCGATAATTGGTTGGAAAAAATTAAGGTGAAATCTGAATATATTATTTTAAATTTTAAATATTTTTTAAGATATTATTGGATAGAAATGTTTTGATATTTTTATAGTGAAGGTTCTTTATGTTTAGCAGCAATATATGTATATATTAGTAATTAGCTATAATAAAATCTTCTACTTACATAATATTCATCAGTTTTATTCATTCAAAATGATACCATGAAGTAATTTTGACCAAACAAAATGATCTAATTATGTATAGATAAAACCAAAAAAAAAAAATTATCATAGAATGCGAAATGTCCTCCCATCATACCGGCGTTACGAAGCGATAAAAAGAAAGGGAAATTATATGACAGCCGGGGATCAATATACGAATTTAATTTAGGAAAAATGATTAAAAAAAAAGCTGGGAATTATAAAATCCCAAATTAGTTTTGATAACAACACTTTATTTCTTATTAATAATACTGAATTTATAAATGACAAAAATTTTTTTTTAACATTCTTTATTTAACATTTAGTAATTTTTAACTTCTTTTTTAATCATTTTTTCTTTAATTTATATAAAAAATTCTCAAACATTTAATCTAAGTGAGCCAAAGTTGACATAAAAATAAACACAGTCAACCAATACTAAATAATATGCATAAATATATGGGCCAAGGCCGAATACCAACCAGTGTTCCTAACACTTATTTATCCTTTCTTCTTCTTCTTCTTTTTTTCCCCGCCATCTGCTTAATAATCCTTTCATTTAACATACTACATCCCCTTAATATAAAATTTACCTAATTAATTTGGTTTGATTGAAGAAAGTAATTTAAATTAGTTATTTGTCAATAATATATGTTGGTTTCTCTAAGATACCTTCTTAAATCATTTAACTCTATTGGTGCAAACTCCTCTAATATATGCAGTTAATAGGCTTAGTTAGGATAAATAAGGGGAATAAAATAAGGTCTTGTATTTAAAACCAAGTTTAACCCTCTTCTAGTTCTTATATTAGGAAGCCAAGTTACTATATGTTTTATGTTAAATGGAAGGATAAATTAAAGACAATATAATTATGGCAGCAATAAATGTTTTCCCCGTTGACATCATAGTCCTTATGGCATGTAGTCCAGTTTAAATAAGCATTAAATATTTTTTCTCATATATGCTCATATTTAATAAAGTTAGTGAGAGCATTGAAATTAACATAATGGTGGAGCTTAGTATGATTAATAAGGGTAACATTAGAAATTATTTGAATTTTATAAAAAGAAAATTAGCGCTTTTAACTGTTTTTATTAATATATATGAATTAATTAAAAATGTCTTATACAATAGACTAGAGTATAAATCAATCAGGACCTGTTTGGTTCAACCACATTATAAGTATGCAATGGTAATCCTTATTACATTACCATAAATGACATGTTTAGTTGCACTTACTAATGGTAAAAGGAATTACAATGGTAATATCAATTGCACATATTTTTGGTAATATCCATTCCTATGGGAGGGGCTATGAGTGATCATTGTAGGGCTGCAATCTCTTATAAATATCCATTTTTTCCTTTGTAATCAATGTGAAAATACAATATTTGCCCTTAAACATTATCCCTCTCCAAGCTTTATCCTTCATCTCCCTCCCTCCATTACCATCATCCACTACAACAAAATGTGTTATTTACCTCCCTCATTTATGTCTGTTTTGCAAAACAGAAGAGACTTCATGTCTGTTTTAAACAAAACAGACGTGAATTCACGTCCGTTGACCCAAAACAGACGTGAATTCACGTCTGTTTCTAAGTAAACAGACGTGAAGGGGCTTCATTTTTTAAAAAAATTTGCCTGCAGCTATCGCAGCTCGCATCAGTAGTTATCTATCAGATTTGCATATGTACCGCGCGCGATCGAAGAACTCCAGCTCGCAGCTATCTCGCACCCAACTTTCAGTTTCGATCGGTCTCTCCCTCTCATTTTCCTCTTGTCCATGAAGTAGCCGTGAGCTATTTCAACTTGTTTCGGTCTCTCCCCCTGGTTTCAGCTCTTCAAGGCCGTAGCCGGACTCCCTCCATTGCGTCGCTCATTCTGCAGTAGCCGTGTTGTAGCAGCTCGCCGTTGAAGCCGTGAAGCTCACACGCACAGCAGCTCACCGTCGTCGTCCTCTCTGTAGGCCGTTGATTCGAAGGCACGCCAGAACGGTGAAGGTAAGTTCATTCAATCGTTGCATTTTAGTGTGTTGTACGGTGGGTTTGAGTAGGTTGAGGAGTTTTGAATTGGTTTCTGAGGTTGCTGTTTAAATTTTTGCTGAAGAATTGTGTTTAGATAGTTTTAAATTTGTATATATTGATTGGGTAGAAATTTTAATGATTTCAAGCCTTGTTAATCTTGTTAGAAAAATAATGCATACAAGGTGTTTGTTAAAATGCCTAAGAGGGATTGCATTAGATAGTTTGCTATATGTGTTGAATTTAGATTAAGGATTGGGTATACATTAAATGATTAATGAAAAAATTGCATTTAGATAAGTTAAAATTTGTTTACATTGATTGGGTAATAGATTTGAAGTTTGAAATCATTTGCTTGGAATTGGCATGATTTATGTTGTAATTGGAATGAATCGGATTCAATTGATATCATTAGTTTTGAATTTGGTTAATGTTTATTGGGACTGTGCTGAATGGAATTAAATTGTTTATAATTCCTTAGGTAGTAACAGAATGGATCATAGTTGGATGAATGCTTTAAGAACAAGTGATGAATATGAGAACGGAGTAGAACGATTTATTGAATTTGCTAAACAGAATGCTCGTAGCAATAACGGAATGTATTTTTGTCCCTGTGTCAAGTGTTTAAATGAGAGGCGACTAAGTGTTGATGATATTAGAGATCACCTGCTTTGTGATGGTATAAATCTTCGATATACAAAATGGATATGGCATGGTGAAGTAGGAACAAGTTCAATACTCGAAGAAGAGGAAGATATGGATGATGTAAATGATAGAATGAGCGATATGATTCGTGATGTAGGGGTAGAGTTCTTTGTGCAATCACATGCAAATGATAACTTGAAGAGTGATGCAGAGATGCCTTTGTACCCTGGGTGTTCTAAGTATACACGATTGACAGCTGTATTGAAATTGTTCAGTTTAAAAGCAAATAATGGGTGGACTGACAAAAGTTTCACAGAGTTGCTTCAATTGATTAGTGATATGCTTCCAATTGATAACGTTCTTCCAAATCGTGTGTATGAAGCAAAGAAAATCTTGTCTCGGATGGGTATGGGCTATGAAAAGATACACGCTTGTCCTAATGACTGTGTATTATATAGAAAAGAGTATGCTGGTCTACGTGAGTGCCCAAAATGTAAAACTTCACGATTCAAGGTGAAAAAGAACATGGACTGTGCTGGTAACTATGATGGTGACGAGACAAGTAAAGGGCAACCTTTGAAGGTGTTATGGTATCTTCCGATAATACCACGATTTAAGCGCTTATTTGCTAATGCAACAGAAGCGAAGAAGTTAAGATGGCATTTTGATGAGAGAATATCAGATGGAAGATATCTTCGGCACCCTGCTGATTCTCCTCAATGGCAGAAAATAGATGAAATGTTTCCAGAATTTGGTCTTGAACCAAGAAATCTTCGCCTTGGGCTTTGTACAGATGGAATCAACCCTTACGGTACTCTTAATAGCACACATAGTGCATGGCCAGTACTGTTGGTGATTTACAACCTACCTCCCTGGTTATGTATGAAGCGCAAGTACATGATGCTTTCTATGATGATTTCAGGACCGAAACAACCAGGAAACAATATCGATATCTACTTGGCACCTTTAATTGAAGATTTGAAGATGTTGTGGGAAGAAGGCGTGGATGTGTTTGATGCATACAAGCAGGAGTCCTTTAAGTTGCGTGCCATGATCTTTACAACGATAAATGACTTTCCTGCATATGGAAATCTATCAGGATACAGTGTGAAGGGGCATAAAGCATGTCCTATATGTGAAGCAGACACATACTTCCACCAACTTAAGCACGGAAGGAAGACAGTTTACCTCGGTCACAGGAGGTTTCTTGATCGGTTCCACCCATACCGGAGATTGAAAAAGGTTTTTAATGGCTCACCAGAGCATGGCATGGCTCCGAAGGCATTAACTGGAGAGGAAGTTTACCAGCGAGTTGAAAGAATCAATGTCATTTTCGGTAAGACTCAAAAAGCTGCAAGTGAGAAAAACATATGGAAGAAGAGGTCTATTTTCTTTGATCTTCCATATTGGCGCAGTCTTGATGTAAGACACAGTATCGATGTGATGCATGTGGAAAAAAATGTGTGTGATAGTCTTATCGGTACTCTTTTGCACATACCGGAAAAACTAAAGACGGAATTAATGCAAGACTTGATCTGGCTGAAATGGGCATTCGAGAGCGCTTACATCCACAATTGAGAGAGGGTGGTAAGCGGGCTTATATGGAACCTGCGGCCCACACATTGTCTAAAGTCGAAAAAACAAGCTTGTGTCGGTGTTTGCATGACATCAAGGTGCCCCAGGGGTATTCTTCTAATGTGAAAAGGCTTGTCTCAATGCATGATTTGAAGTTAGTGGGAATGAAGTCTCATGATTATCATGTACTGATGCAACAACTATTACCCGTAGCTATTCGAGGCACAATGAGAGATGATGTGAGGAGCACTATAACTAGATTATGTATCTTCTTCAATGCTATTTGTAGCAAAGTCATTGACATAGAGAAATTGGATGAATTGGAAAATGAGGGTTATGTTATCTTGTCTCAACTAGAAATGCACTTTCCCCCAGCATTTTTTGACATCATGGTGCATTTGATCATTCATTTAGTGAGGGAGATAAGGCTTTGCGGTCCTATTTTTCTAAGATGGATGTATCCATTTGAGAGGTACATGAAAGTCTTAAAAAATTATTCTAAAAATCCTTATCGACCTGAAGCATCAATTGTTGAAAGGTATGTAGCGGAAGAGGCTATGGAATTTTGCAAAACATATCTATCTATAGCTAAGACACCATCTCGGCATGAAAACGGTACAAGTAAAGGAATCAGGGGGTTGAAGGTAAAGAGTATGGGTCGTGAAGAAGTGTTACAAGCGCACTTATACATATTGAATAATATGGAAGAAGTGCAGTCGTATTTAGATGATCACAAAAAAAGTTTAAAAGAGAAGTATCCAAAGAAAAGTGATATGCAGATAGCAAATGAGCATAACAAAACATTTATAACATGGTTCAGTGAAAAAGTTTTGAGAGAGGCCAATGTATCTGATACAATAAAATGGTTAGCTTGGGGTCCTTGTTTTGAAGTTATCACTTGGAGTGGATACGACATAAATGGATATTCCTTCTACACAAAAGCTCAAGATGACAAAAGTACTGTGCAGAATAGTGGGGTAATGGTGGTTGCTGAAGCGATGCATTTTTCGAGTTCGAAAGATAAAAACCCCAAATTGGCATCTATGGCTTATTATGGAGTTATTGAAGAGATATGGGAGGTAAACTACACCAATTTCAAGATTCCTGTCTTCAAATGTAAATGGGTCAACAACAACAGTATTGAAATAGATCAACAATTTGGATTTACATTAGTTGATCTTGGCAGGGTTGGTTATGCAGATGAGCCTTTCATTTTAGCAAGCCAGGCAAAACAAGTATTTTATGTTACTGATCCAGCAAATAAAAAATTGTCTATTGTCCTTCAAAGTAAAAAGCAGAAGGACAGTGATCCTACCATGAATCTTGATGAGACACCACCTTTTGCTTCAAATCCGCCTAGACCAAGTGAAGTAGAATTGGTAGATAATGATGAATATGCTGCAAGAGATGATCATTGTGAAGGGATATGGGACAATGCATAAAGTCAGATAAGTAATGTAATTTTGCAACGTACCTTGTGTTATTTTCTTTCATTTATTTCATTGCAATGTACTTGATATTATTTATATATTAATACATTTCACTATAATTTACTTATTTATCTAATTTTGGTTTTTCAACAGGCACATGGAGGAGGATTTTGATGCCAATATGGAGGAGGATTTTGATGCCAATATGGAGGAGGATTATGACATCGATGATGTCAATCAGCCGGAAGGAAGGAAGGTTAGAGGTAGTACAAGGCTACCAAAGTTAGCAGTACGTCATGGTCGTATTCAGAAGAAGCATGTGGATTTTGATGCCAATATGAATCCAATTGGTGAAGAGAAGGACAGATTCATTAGCTATATAGGCTCCGTTGCCCGAAGCAAAGTCAATATTCTATGGCCTAATTGGAAGTCAATTTCTAAGGAGACGAAGGATAGGATTTGGGAATATATTTTGGTATGTCACTTTCTAATTTTATTTCATTTGTTTTATTGTAAATATAGTTATAACTAAGATCTTAAACTCAAACATATATATTTTTCTTTGCAGCAAACGTATGACATCCCTCGTACTGAGCAAATGAAAAAGCATTTGTTGCAGCAAGTTCGTCAGCGCTGGAAAGATTTTAAGCACACACTCACGAGCCAGTATGTGCGAGGGCCTAGAAAGATGATGATCCGTGCGAAAAATACTCCTTCCTTGATCCAGATGATTGGAGGAGGTTTGTGGCATCACGGCATGATCCTAAATTTCAGGTACATTGCCTTATAAAGCAAAGTCATTGATTTAATTTACTTCACTTACTCAATTTACTTTGTTTTCTTTTCCACAGGAATTAAGTGCGATGAATAAAGAAAGGCAAGCTAAAAATTTATATCCGCACTATTTATCCCGTGGAGGTTACAAGATGCTTGAGGAGAGGATCATGCAGGATGACTTTAAGGCGATGCAGGAAGCTGCAAAATCTGATCCTAGTATCGTTGTTCAGACCCCACCTCCTCCTCCACGTCATAGAAAATGGAAGGAAGCAAGGATGAAGAAGGGTCAATATATTAATCCAGCAGTTGCTGAGATTGCTAAAAAAATTGTAAGTTGTATACATCAAATAACTTTAACTTATGGTAATATTCCTTATATTTTATCATTAATTTTCTATTATACTGTCATTAATTTTTTATCATACTTAAAATGTTATAGGAGGTACTTGAAGAGCAAAGCAGTGAAGGTTCATTTAGTCCGAGTGGAAGGATGGACATTTTAGCGACAGCGATTGGGAAGCCTGATCACCCCGGACGCGTTAGAGGAGAAGGGAGGACAGTTGGTCTTACCCAATATTTTGGACAAACTTCACGAGCTTCTCTACGAAGTCAACCCACTGATGAGATGATAGCTAAACTTCGAGACCAAGTTCGTGATGAGCTCCAATCTGAGCTAGAGGTCAAGATTGAGGCCCAGTTACGCCAGTCACTTCGAAAAGAGCTTATGGCTGAGCTTCGTGATGAGATGAAATCTATGGTCTCTAGCATGCAAATTGGGACAGTTCAACAACAATGCACATCCCAGGTTTGTAATCAATTTCACTTAAATTAATGTTGAGTTTTACCAACGTTTTTTTAATTTAATTTAATACTTGCATTTCTCTCATTTAGGATTCCCCCGTCTTTCCTAGCACTAAAAACAGTTGTAATCCACCGGGGGCATTGGGAGAGCATGATCCTAGTAGTCCCACGCCGGACTTTGGACAACCTTGTTGTCTTCGTTTAGAGGTCCCAAGGATGCGTGTTGTTGCTGACGCTCTCCTCTACAATCAAGGGAGCACTATCCATCACCAACATATTCAAGAGGACCAAGCGAGGGTTACAGTTACGACTGTTCGAGAGGGAGAGACAGGTGCGGATGTGCCATTCCCGACTGCTGAAGTTGTGAAGTTAGGTCAGGCAATTGGAACTTTCATTCTTTGGCCTAGACACCTTGTTGATGAGGAGATAATACCTGTGATGGTAAGAAAATGTTATTCTATACTGTGTGCATTTTTTTAACATAATACTTATAATACTTATTATGTTTATTTGATGTTTCATTAGGACCAGGAAGATGTTAATAGATATCCCTGCTTGGCACAATTATATGAGGAATATAAAACAATTAACAAGGTCGACATAAAGATGCCTGTAGGGATTGTGGGTGAAGAAAAATCATATTTCTTTGGACTTGACAACAAAGACATCAGGGATTTCTTATCCTTGAAGGAGTTGGACATAGCATGGGTTCAATTAGCAATCATGTAAGTTTACTTTTTCATTTCTAACTTAAATTTCTAATTCTTACTTTCACATACTAATAATTATCTTATTTCAATTCAATGATAGCTTCTTCCATAACAAATGCATGTCATCAATGGAGAAGAGAAATTTGTATGGATATTTATGCCCTGCAAGTGTCCAGAAGAAGTACAACCCACTAGATAGGAGAATCAGATATGTGGGCAATACGATTGGAGACACTAAATTACCTTGTTATTTGGCACCAATTATTGAAGGGCAAGTAGCTTAATTATATTTATTTATACATACTTAAATTGTTAAGAATTATTGTGATATCCAGTAATGTATAAGTCTTACTCTATGATGCAGTTGTCATTGGAGTTTGTGTGTTTCTTGTCCCATTGACAATGTCATCTACTGGTTTGATCCCTTGGGTCGTCGTCCAAGCAGTGAGATGAGGGGCGTTTTCAACACGTAAGTACCTTAATGTAGATCAATAATTTTGTTTTCAATATAAATTATTTAACTTGTGCTTTCATTTGCTTATAGGGCTTTAAAGACTTATTATATAACCGGTGGGAAGCGTTCCGGGAAAAATGGCTCAACAACTTGGGTATATCCTAGTGTGAGTACTTTAAATTGAAGTTCTTTCATTGATGGCAGTTATTTTATATATGAATTTGGATTATCATTTCCTTGTGATTTGCAGTGTGCTAAGCAACAAGGGCCAACAGAGTGCGGATATTACATTATCCGTTATATGTTTGAGATTATTGAGAGCGGATGTATTACAAAATTTGATGAGGTAAGTAAATATAATTTTAGTTTTGTAATAGTTGAATTTTTAAATTGAATTGTTACTTATTTTATTTTCTTCCTATGTTTAAATTTGTTCATTTGTCAATTTACAGATTTTTGATAATGATTGTTCATATACTATTGATGACATTAACTTCATCCGAGACCTTTTGGCACAGCAACTGCTTCAAGAATTGTGGTCCAGGGATTGAGCAAGTTTATGTTTAGAGACAATAGGATCAATATTGACTTTTGTAATTTGTTCTTCTTTTTTGACTAGTTAGTTAATTAATGTGTCTATATAGATGAAGTTATGATGTTGATATGTCTTGGCTGAAAATATTGACTGGTTCATACTATTTCAACTTGCTGGAAAGTGGCTATTATGGCTATTGTGGCTGTAGGAGAAGCAGTATATACGAACTGAATCTTTTTTTAAAAAAAAACAGAGTAAATTCACGTCTGTTTAGAGAAAAACAGACGTGAATTCACGTCTTTTTTGATAAACAGACGTGAATTCACGTCTGTTTTAAAATTAACAGACGTGAATTCACGTCTGTTTTCGCAAACAGACGTTAATTCTCGTCCGTTCCAAACAGAAGTAAAAAGGGGGTACTTTTTATGTCCCTTCTTTTCATGTCCCCTGCAAAACAGACGTAAAAAGTCATCCAAAACAGAAGTAAAAAGTCTTCATTGTAGTAGTGATCGCTCTCTCTCCTCCTTCTCCCTTGTCTCTTCCCTCCATTATCATCATCTCCTCATACGTACTACTTCACTTTTACTTCCAAATTGGTTAATCTTTGTCCCCTCTCTCCATATCTATGTTGTTTTGGTGCATCACATATAGACCATGACTAAAAGAGTTGATGGAAAAAGAGAATTGCTGCTGGTAGTGAATACAAATAGAGCACAAAATTGTGGAAGATGGGCAATGCACAAGGTCATCACAGGGAGAGACAATGAATGTTGAAACGACATATGAGAACAACATTGCGTCTAAGAGCTAAAGACGGTAAAGGCATATGTTTGGAGAAAAGCAAGGTTAGTTTGGTTCTTTCTTTCTTGTTCAACATAGTCAAATTATGGAAAGGATAAAATTGAAAATGTTTCAAATTGGAAAATTCAAGGCAAAGCTGAAACAAAAATGGAGGTGGACTATGAGTTGTTGAAGGGGTTGTGACTTGCAAGGATTTGACGGAGGGAGATTGGCAATTGCAGAAAGAGGTGTAGGAGCATCTCTATTTATGCTTATGATTGGGGGCATTCTGGACTTCTAATCTTATTTTTATTTGATTAAATATAAAAGATAATATTTTTTTTTACCAAATCTTATTAATAACTTACCAAACATATTGATGGTAAGGAATATTACATTATACCCCACTGCACTGCATTGCATTATTATCTATAAATATTTGGTAATTGAACCAAACGAGCCCTAAGAGTATTCATAGGATGTGATGATAATCAGGACAGGATGCCTTTTTGATCTTGCATCCCCTCCTGTCCCAATAATGTTCCGTTGGGGACGGAACAAGAACATCAGTCTTTTTTTGTTTTTCTGAATTTTTTTTTTCACTTTCTTCATTTGAAAACTGACAATATATAGATTATAAGAACTCGTAATTAAAGGTTATTGATAATGGGAAGATATCGTTTTTATATGTGTAATATGCGTGCTTCAAATTTTACTAGCAACTGATGGTGGGAGAATCTCATTGATAAATAATATATTATATATTCGTAAAAAGCACTTGGGACAGCTGCCTTTGCCTGTGGTGTGTCTTTAACAGCCAACTCAAGTAAACGTTTTTCTAAACAATTTAATGGTATTTTTTGCCAACAAAAAAATTAATTATGTTATACTTATAGTACCCCACATTAACCATGGCAACATTTGATGCCCAGGACAAGAAGATAATTTAGCCCATTTTTCATATAAAAGTCAAGCAAAATAGCAGGATGTAGTCCGCGTATAACAGAAAAACTAAGTTTGTCCCATAACACGGATTCCTTTTTTCCTTGATACAATACAATGAAAGGCATAACAAAAAGAGAATGCTAGTACAATGATAAACAGTACACTAATCCTTTATATCCTTTGTAACATCTACTGGAAAAATGTTAATGGGGAGACAAACACCTCAATAATCAATAACTCAAGATACAAACTAATACATGCTCCTGAGATGACAAGCGTACAGTCATAAAAGCATTGAATATTAAAATAAACATGTGATTTCAATATCATAATTACAAGAAAATCTCAATCACCATATAACTTCCGTTGTATCTTCAGAACCCATAGTTAAGTAATAAGTTATCCATCCATGCAACCAGTTACTTGACAGGCTCACTAAATATGTGGTAGGACTAGGTAAAGTCTTCCCTCCCTTGTGCATGAGAGGTGCCATAGACAGCAGCAGATCAAATCTCAGGGGAAAAGTTTTATGAACATATTATGACATTTCACATTAATTCTATCATATTTTGCATACATAGATATTTATATAAAAATCACACCTCCAAAATCTATTTTCTCAAGGTATATCATAAAAATCATGCTTTAGAAATCACTCACAAAAATTTTGTGCTTATTTTTGTTTTTGTT